AAAATAAAATAAAATAAAATAAAATAAAATAAAATAAAATAAAATCATGCACAGGTCTGTCAGCCCATTAAATATAACACATAAACAGCCAAGTAGCCATTTTTCCAGCAAAAAGCTCCCACAAAACTTGATCACACTAGTTAGGCTATCGCCTATGTCAAGCAAGCCAAGCCTCATAAAACTGTATATATCCTTAGTCAAGCAGGCCAGGTAAACAATGACTCTCAACATCATTCTGTTCTGTAATATTGGTCACATATTTATTGCAAATATCAGGCCCTAAACACTGGAGATAAAGTGCACTGCTATTAAGTGTCCAATATGAAGTACAATGAGATAATCAAATCCGTTTTTAAATTAATTTCCTTTATTACAGACAAAATGAATTACTAAATTTACTAATTAAATTTAATACTTTTCTTAAACAAGTACTATTCACACACTTTCATGAAGAACCTCAATTCACAGTAGACCAATATTTTTGTAAAACAGAATAACAATGTTATGGCAATGTCAAATTGCTATAAAAGTTTCCAATTACTCTTTTTTTTTTGAGACAGAGTCACTCTGTCGCCCAGGCTGGAATAGTGCAGTGGCACAATCTTGGCTCACTGCAACCTCTGACTCCTGGGTTGGAGCAATTCTCCTGCCTCAGCCTCCTGAGGAGCTGGAATTACAGGTGTGTGTCACCATACCTGGTTAATTTTTGTATTTTTAGTAGAGATGGAGTTTCACCATGTTGGCCAGGCTGGTCTTGAACTCCTGACCTCAGGTGATCCACCCACCTCAGCCTCTCAGAGTGTGGGAATTACAGGCGTGAACGACCGCACCCGGCCAATTACTCATTTTTTGAACTTAATGCATCACAAACACAAACACATAGTTTAGAGATAAGTGGGCAAACCACACTTTGAGTAGCACTGAATCAGACCATAAGTAGGACTAACATTTTTAAGTTCCTTCAATTAGCTAGTCATAAATCAATCCAAACACATCATCAAAATTTAGAAAAAAAATTAATTTACCTTGGGAAAATATTTGTATAATCCCATGTACGCAAGTTGCAAAGTAAGAAATGGAGCAAATATGGACTGTGAAGATAGAAGATAAAATTAAATATTTCCAACATAATCATTCAAATTACAATAAATCAAACAGCAGCTATAAAATTCCAAGCACAAGCTGTAAAAAAAATTGTTATTATTATTTTTTGAGACAAAGTCTTCCTCTGTCACCCAGTCTGAGTGCAGTGGCACGATCTTGGTTCACAGCAACATCCACCTCCCAGGTTCAAGTGATGCTGGTGCCTCAGCCTTCCAAGTAGATGGGGTTACAAGCGCCCGCCACTATGCCTGGCTAATTTTTGTATTTTTAGTAGAGACAGGGTTTCACCATGTTGGCCAGGATGGTCTAGAACTCCTGACCTCATGTGATCAACCCACCTCGGACTCCCAACATGCTGGGATTACAGGTGTGAGTCACCTCGCCTGGCAATTACTTTTTTTTTTTAAGATGGGAGTCTCACTCTGTCGCCCAGGCTGGAGTGCAGTGACGCAATCTCGGCTCACTGTGACCTCTGCCTCCTGGGTCCAAGCAATTCTCCTGCCTCAGTCTCCCATAAAATAGTAATTTTAATGGTTAACAGTAATCTTGTTTCCTCAGAAGGGTGAAGAAAATAAAAGATTTGATTTCCTAACATAAAATATGTTTCTCAGGTCATACAATTCTTTCACATTCTTTTAGTGTCCCCAAAACTGTCTTCTCTCATAAAAACTCATCTTTTAAATTATTTAAAGTATTAAATAGTGACAGATGTTTAACACATCATGCAGTAACATCTCCGTCACCCAGAGGGAATTAATTGACATCCAGGAAGCACACAGACAAGGCCCAGCACTCAAAATAGATGGCATTCTTCCAGCTATGCAGAAGGCTGAGGCAGGAGGACTGCTTGAGCCCAGAAGTTCTAGTCCAGCCTGGGCACCACAGCAAGATCCTATCTCTAAAACGTTTTAAACAACAACAAAACTAAATGCTTGGCTGGGCATGGTGGCTCATGCCTGTAATCCTAGCACTTTGGGAAGCAGAGATGGGCGGATCACGAGGTCAAGAGATCGAGACGACCATCCTGGCTGACAAGGTGAAACCCTATCTCTGCTAAAAAATTAGCTGGGCATGGTGGGATTACAGGCGTGAGCCACTGTGCCCAGCCCCTCATAACTACTTTTAAAATGAAACCATTAAGAAGCGAGTGAAGGAGCAAACATTACTAGATGGCAGTATGGTGACAGCAGTAAGAAACAGTTGAAACTCTGATAGCTACAAAACCCAGAAAACCAAAACAAAAAAATTCACACAAAAATAGGCATAACATTAAAAGCATGAAAGCACAGAGCCCTTCAGATAGAGACAAAAAAGAGGCAGCTCATTAAATGCTGAAAGTATCACCGATCTTTGCATTACAGCAAACTATGTTGACAAGTTATCATCAAGGAAAAACAAATAAAATCTGTTCAACAGGTTCTATTTATGAAAACATCTGCATAAAAATAGATTTTAGGCCAGGCACGGTGGCTCACGCCTGTAATCCCAGCACTTTGGGAGGCAGCGGTGGGCAGATCACGAGGTCACGACATCGAGACCATCCTGGCTAACACGATGAAACTCCGTCTCTACTAAAAATACAAAAAATTAGCCGTGCATGGTGGCACGTGCCTGTAGTCCCAGCTACTCGGGAGGCTAAGGCAGGAGAATCACTTGAACCCAGGAGGTGGACATTGCAGTGAGCCGAGATTGCACCACTGCACTCCAGCCTAGGCGACAGAAACTCCATCTCAAAAAAAAAAAAAAAAAAGATTTAAAAAAACTGTTTTGCTTAATGATATAAACTTTAATTATCTGGATAATTCATTTATGTGCCTGGTACATAGACCTAAAATGTCTACTGAATGGAAAAACCTCAGTGCAAGACACTGAACTATGAGCTATGCTTTTCTGCATTCTTCAATATACTGTAAAACAAAATGACCACATCATGGTACAACCAAAATGGACTCATTATGACACTACATTAAGAAATGCTGAAATGTCTTCTGAACCATAGGAAATTTACCTCATATTCAGGACCACAGGAACTGCATTTTACTATTTCAAATTATTTGAAAATTGATAATATACAGTATATATATATGTAAAGCACTTAACCCTTTGGTTAAAGAATGAAACTGCTAAGGTTTAATCCCAGCATCACTTAGTAGCTGTGTGACCTTCGGCAAATGATTTAACCTCTCTGAGTCTTCATTTCCCAATGGATTCAAATAATACCAAGTTCATAAGAATGAGGATTAGATGAATTAATATATGCAAAGCAATGAGAAGGGTCCGTAGCATGAAAAAAGGGTTTCAGTACAGTCATCCCTCAGTATCTGCAGAGGACTGGTACCAGGTTCCTCCTGATAGATGCTCAAGTCCCTTATGTAAAATGGCACAGTATTTGCATATAACCTACTCAATTCCTCCCATATACTTGAAATCATTTCTAGATTTTTTTATGCCTAATACAATGTAAATAGTTGTTATACTGTTTTTATTTGTATTATTTATTATTTGTTATTATTGTATTATTGTTTCCCCAAATATATACACATACATATTATTTTTGAGACAGGGAGGGTCTCACTCTGTCACCCAGGCTGGAGTGCAGTGGCATTATCCTGGCTCACTGCAACCTCCGCCTGCCGGGTTCAAGCAATTCTCCTGCCTTAGCCTCCCAAGTAACTGGGATTACAGGCGTGCACCACCACGCCCGGCTAAATCCAAATACTTTCAATCCACAGTTGGTTGAATCCACATAGGGTGCAGAACCAACTGATATGGAGCACCAACAATAATTACTAGGCTCTGTATTTAACCAGAACACTTCATTCTATAAGATGAATAGCAAAGTTAATAATGTATCTTCAAACAGCCACATGGATCCGGTAGATATTAATTTTGGCAATGACTTCTATGGGTCAAAAGCACTCATAATTATTAACATTTTGCATTTTCCATTAAGTTAGTTAATAATTTACAGATCTTTTCTTACCAAGTATTTGCAAACAAAAGCTCTGACTCCAAGAGCAAGAAGAGCACATCCCACCAATCTAAATATTCGAAAAGAGTCAAATTCTTCTGTTGTACTTCCATCCTCTTGACTCGGTTTTTCACTAATCAGCTGTTTCCTTAGCTTCATTGCTTCTTCGAATCTGGAAAGGTACTGCTCTAGGCCATGGCGGGCACCCCTCTGGACTGAGTCCGCTGTCAAGTCCCCTCTGTTCCGCTGCCGGAGCTCAAGGTTGACATCATTACTGCACTCAGGTGGTTTAATGAAAGAGTCCAATTTGTCTCCCAGTTGGGTCCCCTTTACCTCGGCCACACCACCCTGCTGGTCAGTTGTTCCTGTACTGACTGAATCACCCAGCACTACTCGTTTTGAAACTGAAGGAACGCTGAGGGAGTTCAGTTTATCACTGTCCTGCTGCTTTGATTTTGTTTGACTTTCTTCTTCTGAGAAAAGAAATTTAAAAGCCTTATGTATTTATTACATACTGGCAAACACCTTACATGTTTATGTTTTAAAATATGCTGTTGCAGCTAGAACTCAGCAGTCTCTGAATCAAAATAAATAAATATTGATTCTGCATGAAAGAAAAGCTGGTTTCGGCTAGGCACAGTGGCTCACGCCTGTAATCCCAACACTTTGGGAGGCTGAGGTGGGCGCATCATGAGGTCAAGAGATTGAGACTATCCTAGCCAACATGGTGAAACTCCGTCGCTACTAAAAATACAAAAATTAGCTGGGTGTGGTGGCATGTGCCTGCAGTCCCAGCTGTCTGTAGTCCCAGCTACTCTGGCTGAGGCAGGAGAATCGCTTGAAACCCGGGAGGCAGAGGTTGCCATGAGCCGAGATTGCGCCACTGCCCACTGCACTCCGTCTGCATCTGCCTGGCGACAGAGCGAGACTCCGTCTCCAAAAAAAAAAAAAAAAAGTTGATTTCTTCCTCTACACCCTCAAAATATATCACCCAAAATGAGTATTCTGCAGAGGAAATAACTCAAACTTTATGGGTAGGAGATAAGATTAGTAGACCAACTAGGAAAGATATTCAGAGATTGAGCAAACTGAAAAGACCAACTTTTTATGGATAATATATCCCAGATGTATGATTGCATTGCCTGCCTTAGCTTATTTGGTTAAAAATATAAAATCAGTAAGGCATTTTAAAATCTGTATTTTAAAATTAGATTTGTGAATCCAGTGCCCTATGAGCATAGGGTGTGGCATATCCCACAGCTACTGTTTATGTGGTCAGACAACCATTAGTAGGTAATTCAGCAGTTTTAAGATGCTACTCTGGTGTGGTTTTTTTTGTTTTTTGTTTTAAAAAAGGCCAGGCACAATGGCTCACACCTGTAATCCTGTAAGCCCAGCACTTTTGGAAGCAAAGGCTGGTGGATCACTTGAGGCCAGAAGTTCAAGACCAGCTTAGGCAACATAGTGAGACCCCCATCTCCACACACACAATTTTTTTTTTTTTTTAATTAGCCGGGCATTGTGGGGTACGCCTGTGGTCCTAGCTACTCTGGAGGCTGAGGTAGCAGGATTGCTTAAGCCCAGGAGTTTGAGGCTGCAGTAAGCTATGATCATGCCACTGCACTCCAGCCAAGGATACAGAGGGAGACCTTGTCTCAAAAAACAAAACCTTTAAAGACATAAAATTTTCAAAGCAAAAGAACAAAATATAGAAAGTACCGGCTGGGCGCGGTGGCTCAAGCCTGTAATCCCACCACTTTGGGAGGCCGAGGCAGGCGGATCACGCGGTCAGGAGATTGAGACCAGCCTGGCCAACATGGTGAAACTCCGTCTCTAATAAAAATACAAAAAATTATCCGGGCGTGGTGGCACGTGCCTGTACTCCCAGCTACTCAGGAGGCTGAGGCAGGAGAATTGCTTGAACCCAGGAGGCGGAGCTTGCAGTGAGCGGAGATCGCACCACTGCACTCCAGCCTGGGCAACAGAGCGAGACTTCGTCTCAAAAACAAAAAGAAAAAAGAAAAAAAGAAAGTACCTCGGGTAATACCGTAAATAATGCTTTAAGAATAAGTAGCCTGATAGAGAAATGTTTCTTCTAGGGTTCTAGAAGAATTTGAAATGTTTTTCTTACCTCTCATTTGAACTATCTAAAAATGCAGAGCTATACACCTAAACCTTCCAGAACAAAAGTCACAAAGATCTAAGGAGCTTGCGAGCACTGACTAAAGACCAATTACTAAAGGAAACAGTGGAAAAACACTAGGGCGTGCAAATTGTTCAGTTATACTCACGTGAAATAAATTTTTTTAAAATAAAATCATTGGATATATGTTTGGGGGAGGAATGAGGCGCTCTCCTTTAGAAATGCAGTTCCAGACATCAATGACATCGATCTCCCCTGGTGAGGAGAGGAAACTCTCAGGTGCACGTCGCACTTGCTGGGTCTCTGAAGAATGCTCACTCTCACTTTTCCCACCTTTTCTTGCCGGCCCGTAGGTGACAAGTGTTGAGGGCACTGAACACAGACACTAGAATATGACCACAGAGTCCCTGATACACGTAGGACGAACTAGCGGCCAGTTCCGTAAAGACAGGCTGATGTGGGCGGACAAGAGTTACACAGCAAAAGGCAAAAGAAGGTAGACGCTACAGAAGGCACTGTAAGGAAAAGCACTTGGAACCTTAACAAGGAAAGCCATCTTCCTAAGGGGAGCAGTGGACACGACAGTCTGGGGATACAACGTGCGCCCTTCAAGACGAGAAGTGGCTAAGGAAAAAAGGGGCTGTTAACGTAACTGGGCAGAGACAGCGAGGGCTCTGCAGGCAGGGTGGGGAAAATCTCACAGCGAGGCTCCGGGAAAATTGAGGGGAGCGACTGGGGAACATTCTGGGGTTCAGGAATGAGAACTTGGGATATAACCGAAGGGGCGGGACAGAGAGGAAGTCAAAGAGCAGGGCTTGGTCAAAAAGGTCAGTGGAGTGGAGGTGGGAGAGGGAAGAATGACCCTGAAGATTCAAGGGGAGAGGCGGGAGACAGAGGGGAAATCGAGGCTCTTACCCGCGCCGCTCCCGGGCCTGTGAAAGCCCATGATCCGGTTGATGCGCTGTTCGGAGTTCATGAGCAGCTTCCTCCGACGCAGCTCGGCTCGACGCTGGGAGGCCGACAGGCCTGAGCCCGCTGGGACCCCCGGCCTCTCCCCGCCGTCGGTAGCGACAACCATCGACTCCATCCTCCCGTCCACAGTCTGGGAGGGGTGGCAGGAGCGCTGGTGTTGGCCGCCGCGGCGAGGGCGATGACTAGAGACCAGGTCGCGAGGCGCGCGTCCCCTTCCCACTATAGTCCCTCCCCCGAGCGCGGTGCCGGAGCCTGTGAGCTAAGCACGCAAGCGCCGCTCCACGCGACGAAGCGCCAGGCTCTGGCCGCCATCTTGAGTGAGGGCAGCTCTGGACGCCCTGATTCCTCCCCAACTCGTCTGGCCCTCACCCAACAGACCCCTCTGCTGTTCACTCGGAGGTGAAGAAAATCAGCACCCAGGGCCCGGAGTGGTGGCTCACGCCTGTAATCCTAGCACTTTGGAAGGCCGAGGCGGGCGGATCACGAGGTCAGGAGTTCAAGACTAGCCTGGCCAACACGGTGAAACCCCCGTCTCTACTAAAAATACAAAAAATTAGCCGGGCGTGGTGGCGCGCGCCCGTAATCCCGGCTACTCGGGAGGCTGAGGCAGGAGAAGCGCGTGGACCCAGGAGGCCGAGGTTGCAGTGAGCCGAGATCGCGCCACTGCACTCCAGCCTGTGCTACAGAGCAAGACTCTGTCTCGAGGGAAAAAAAAGAAGAGAAGAGAGAGGAGAGGGAGAGGCGAGGAGAGGAGAGAAGAGGAAAGGAAACCGGAAGTGGGAAAGGGATGGCAGTGAATAATCAGCCTAGATTTGGTGCCAGGAAGCAAAATGGAGGTTGCAGCGGCAGTCGCTTGTTTACAGACCGGCGGCCTCGCTTGTAGGGAGCCACGCTTAAACGGAGCCTTACGCTGGGATTTGTTCTTGGTTCCTGTTCCTCATCCTTAACTTCTCTACGCCCAAGAATACGGATGCTGTGTTCCTAGGCTTTCCTCACGTTTTGTGCGTTTTTGTTCAAATCAGAATTTCCCAGTGAAGCCTTTCGTGCACATTCTATCTAAATTGCCAACACTCCCCATTCCCCTTCTCCACCTTATTTTTTCTCCTTGTCGTTTATGACCACCTCGCATGCTATATTATTTTTTTTCCTTCTTATCATTTATGACCAACTTGCATGCTAAAGATGCTCCAGTCTGGGCGACAGCGCGAGACTCCGTCTCAAAAAAAAAAAAAAAAAGAAATACAACACTTAAATTCTTACAGCCAAATTAAAAGTTGGACTAGAAATTTATTCCAGAAAGAATTAATTTTATGGAACAGTTTTCAAATATTTGAAAAGGAAATGGCTTGAAGTTTTTCAGAACTGTAGACAAGGATCTTTAAAGTGTGCTCTGAATAACAAGCAGGATAAAAAAATAAACTACAGGCCTGGTGCAGTGGCTCATGCCTGTAATCCCAGCACTTTGGGAGGCCGAGGCGGGCGGATCACCTGAGGTTGGGAGTTCGAGACCAGCCTAACCAACATGGAGAAACCCCGTCTCTACTAAAAATACAAAATTAGCCCGGTGTGGTGCCGCATGCCTGTAATCCCAGCCACTCGGGAGGCTGAGGCAGGAGAATTGCTTGAACCCAGGAGGCGGGGGTTGTGGTGAGCCGAGATCGTGCCATTGCACTCCAGCCTGGGCAACAAGAGTGAAACTCCGTCTCAAAAGAAAAATTAAAAAAAACAAAAAAAAACACCACCAAGAGAACCCAACAGTAACAAAACTATAGAACATTAAGGATGAAAGCCAAGACAGGTGGATCACTTGAGGCTAGGAGCTGGAGACCAGCCTGGTCAACATGGTGAAACCGTGTCTCTATTAAAAATTATAGGCATGCGCCACCACGCCCAGCTAATTTTGTATTTTTAGTAAAGACGGGGTTTCTCCATGTTGGTCAGGCTGGTCTCGAACTCCCAACCTCAGGTGATCCACCTGCCTCGGCCTCCCAAAGTGCTGGGATTACAGGCATGAGCCACGGCGCCTGGCCAGTCATCTCATTACACAAGGGTACGGAAGACAATGGAGTAATGTCTTAACATTATAAATGGAAAAATAACCTTTGATATAGAATTTCAAACCCAGCTATCCTTGAGGAGCAAGCATCAAGAATTCAGTTTATGGCCTCCCAGACATCTACTTAGGCTATTTAAAGAACCTTCAGCACTAGTTTTTCATTGACATAATTTGGATGCACAACATAGCACTACTTAGTAATTGGCAAGTTACTCATGTCACTTTTTACTTAAAGAGACAGGGTCTTGCTTTCTTGCCCTGGCTGGCATGCAGGGGTACAATCATGGTTCATTGCAGTTTCACACTCCTAGTCTCAAGGGATCCCCCCCGCCTCAGTCTCCTGAGTACCTGGGACTACAAGCGTGAGTCACCATGCCCCGCCACTGTTTTTTTTTTTTTTTTTTTTTTT